TAACATCCCTAATTGTATAAATTAAATTAATTAGTTTCACATATTTCATTTCACCTATTTCGTGTTCTAAACAAGTGTTTTATGGATTAAAGTTTGGTCGTCAACTGCGATCAGTAGATAACGAACGCATGTACGAAACACGAAACGTTCATATTTGCTCGGCATAGATTCTGATTAGATTCGCTTAAGCGCCCGGCGAAATTCTAAACTTTGATTTAGAATTTGAAATTTATAATTTATGTTGCAAAAGTTTTTTTTTTGTTTAATACCAAATAAACGTGAAAAATTTTGTTCTGAATTTGTTCAGTCGTTTTTGAGAAAACGTTGGCGAAATTCAAATTTTGACTCATTACTTAACAAAAGCGACTTTTGACACAAATTTTGACTACATGAGCTTTTCTAATTAAACTACATATCGTAGGGCCGTAAAACTCTAGCATGTCATTATGTCCAAAATTCTCTATCATCATAAAAAAATTATCAAAATCGTTTTCCAACATATGCTTATGAAGAAACGGCGCAGCCGATCTTGAAAACTAACTAATATCTTTCAAACGATTTTTGAATTTTTAAAATCGATTCGGACTAAAATGTAGACTAAAAATTTTGCACTTTTTATACACGCGATATTTTTATCGAATTACATCGAACGGATTTTCATTGCTCATACTGAAAACTGTAAATTTCAAGCGATTCAGAATGACTTGAAACCTTGAGAAAACAAAATTAGCAAATTTAATTTTCTGGCGAAAACAAACTTCTTTATAAAATTAAAAAATATATATGTATAAAAACTTTGTACATTTATATAAGTATATTTGTACATGTTCACTATATATATAAACCCCTTTTTACACGGTAGATAGGTTCCATAAAAAACCGTGTAATTGGAAAAATTCACTTTTATATGGAAAAACTGTGCTAAACGAAAATCACTGTAAAAAAGCCCCTTTTGTCAGTTTTTAATATGATGGAAAACAAAGACATCAAACGAAACATAAAGATTAATATATTTAATATCAAACACATTTAATAAATTATTAGAATAATAATTTATTTCAATATAATATATAATATAATATACAATATAATACAATATAACATATAATATAAAAAACTATTTTAAATATTGCGTTTTCTTTATAGATAAAAATAAACAAGTTTAAAAACAATGATATTTTTGGTTTTGGTATTTCAAACAAATTAGCTTATACACACTAATATTTAGTTTTGATCATAAAACGGGGAGTTTTCATCTTATCTACATATTTCTATCGTTAACATAAACTACAAAGAATTCGTAACTGTAACATACATTTTGTAGTGTTGTATTTTGACAGTAAAACAATGAAAAAGTTATTGTAGATATAAGAAAATTATAGTTTATAGTTTATAATAAAGGTGTAAATGCAAAACTAATAAATTTCGTTAAAAAATTAATTTTCAAGCAACCCTGTAAGATCTGAAACTTGTTGTGCAATCAACGTGAAAACTCGTAATTTAATATAAATTTATATAAAGGAATCAATAGTATACGAAGCATGTAAATTAAACTTCAACAACTGTATAACAAGTCACTTTGAATTTAGTTGATAATGTATTTTTGTATGATGTTATCTTGAGAGCATTCTGTGGGTAAGAGGAAGAGGGCACTTCAATTTTGCCTCGATAAGATTTCGCATGACTTCGGAAGTCTTCGGAAGGTTCCGACTTTCCTGCGTGTTGCCTGTGCCTAGAGCCTTAGGCACGGTTCCTCTTGTCTTGATAAGAGTTGCGCAACAGTGTAAAACGAAGGATAGTTATATATATATATATATTTATATTATATTGTAAGGGTATGCTCCCATTCGTAATAATTATAAATAATATTATAAAACGGTCAAAATATAAACTACGCATTCTGCAGACTGACTCATGCTATATCATTGTATGCTCGAGATATCCTTGACTAGCCCAGCGAGCGTTGATAAAATTATTATTCAAACCACGAAATAAACAACTAAGTAAAACATCGAGTTGCACTATGCAGTGACATTGAACAAGGATTATAAAATGACTTTGAGGGCGACCTGTTAAAAAGGCTTGCAATGACGAAGTCTTTGGTCATTTAGTTTCCATAAAGTTCAGATCAATATGAGTTAGGCAGAGGCACTTTAGTTATCAATGGAGTCATATTTAAGTTCAGTTGTTAAGTTAATGTAAAGTGTACAAGAAATTATGAAATAAACAAATACATAGGACGTCTTCGTCTGTTATACTGACCATCCTCACAGGTAACAGTTTTTGTTTAGCATCAGAGGAACTTGCATACATCTTTGGCATTGTCGGTGAAATTTAATAATATATATATATAATATATATATATATATTAAAATTCAATTAAGTCTAATTAAGTCATTCAATCTCAATCCGAAGAAGTCTCTTCAAATTCATAGTCCGAATACGATGCACCTTCTTCAGACAATAACTCCGAAATCAATCTACAAAATAATTGTATTAATCATTTTTGTAATATTCAAAAAAATTATTTAAATATTTAAAATACTGACTTCAAAATTTTTATGTGAACATCATTTTCATTTCTCCAGTCGACAAATTTTATTTGTGTAACTTTGCATAGCAGAAGATTGTCCAGATGTTGCTTCAATTGTAAAATGAGGTTCGCCAAAAAACTTCTACAACGAAACTTGAATCCATTAACGCTTATGAATTCTACATCGTCCTGAATCCCTGCAAAAATGTTGTCTCCGAAAAAAACTAAAGCTAATGGCGATACCATTGTGGTGTCATACAAAAAGATGCTAGATGTTTTCATTTTTTTGTGATAAACAAAAAATTCTGAATCAAAGTAGGATTCTTTGGAGTTGATCGAGTTGGGGTGAAAATGAACATGCTCCTCAGATTTTTTTGTTTTGATGTATAGTTTAGTAGAAATTGGTTTTCCATTTCGACTTCTTTGAGATCTAAAAATTATAATATAATGATTTTAATACGTTATATATATATATATATATATATATATATATACCTTATGAAAGCAACATTTGGATATAACCCTGCAGAAATGATGGACTTCACCACATTTTGATTTGTCGACTGAACGTTACTAACTACTACTGGATCTCCAATGTCACTAGAGTATAAAAGTTTTTTTCATACAACTGATCGCCAATTGTTTCGTCATATTTTGAAGAAGTCGTAATGTGGAAGCACTTAGAAAGTTTTCCCCCGGCAATAACTCGTTTCTTTTCTTCATTTTTTGCGCTTCTTCGAAACCAGATAGGGCTTCGGCCAGCATCAAATGGTCGCTTCTTGGGTATTTTTCGCTAGTCTTTGTTTACTGCGGTCTACGTCCTCTCTCACGATCCAGAGGATAAACAAAAGCGTCTTTTAAAAGCTAAACTGGCAGCTATAGAAAATATAGGCCGCACGCAGCTGAACAACGAGGCCATCAGAATCATTTTTCCCACTTGGGGATCCATTGGCAATTGTGCCAATTGATATCCTAGTAAAGTCCAAATTTTCTTCCGAATCTAGAGCATTT